GTCACAATCGTGCTTAAAAGTATTAAAAATTTTACTTAAGACATTACGTCATCATAAATAAGTATAAAATTTTATTGTATCATGTTTTTTTAGATGATAGTTGCAGTTGTGTCGTATTTTATCATAAAATACCAAATCGTACTATCTAATCAATAATACGTGGCATAAGCGCACGTCGGTTCAGTCAGCGGGAGACCCTTGTTCAATGTTGAAATGATCACCATACCAACGGATTATGAACAATATCAAACAATGTGAAAATGTAACGAAAAATGAAACATGTAACCATTACTGTAACATGTGACCAATACAATGTAAAACGTGTCTGTAAAATGGATAATGTAAACTGTATTAAGGCTATACACTTGTTGGAAAAAAAAAAAAAAAAAAAATTACTGGCTACGGATTAAAAAAATCCAAGTTTAGAGGCATGATCATTTAATTATGTTTATATACATATATCCGCGTATTAATACAGTATCACAAAAATTTGAAATATTTTGAAAAATTATAGTGTGTCAACCCGACTTTGAACTCATTCTACAAAAAAACAATACTCCCTAAAAATTGAAAGCAGACATTTTAATATTCAAGCGTACTACTATTGTGGAAAAAGGGGATTTTTTGGGATGCATAAATTTGTTTTTTAAATTAATGCTACTCAATATTATTGGTAAATAAAAAAATTGCTTCAATAAAATATATTAAAATAATTGTGATTTTATGGCCAGAGTTATGGCTTTGGAGTTGGCCCCTTACAACATCCGAGTTAACACGGTTAATCCAACGCTTGTCATGACAGCGATGGGAAAAGCGAATTGGAGCGATCCGGATAAGGCTGCCACTTTAAGGGTGAAAATTCCGATGGATCGATTTGCAGGCAAGATATGAACATTATTACCTCAGTTGTTGCTGGATTTCGATGGTTATTAAATAATTATGTAAAATCCGTTTTCTTGTAGAACCTTGTGAGGTTGTGGATTCTATAGTATTTCTTCTGAGTGACAGAAGCGCGATGACTACCGGTTCTGCGGTGGTCATTGACGGAGGGTACCATATACAGTAAATTTGCACCATACTCGAAGTGTAAACCAAGTCGAAAATATTTTAATATTATTGTTAAAAACAAAAAAATTCCATAAATGTAATTGAATTGAATTGAATGTAAAAAAAAAATAAACTCAAAAATTTTTAAAACACTTTGACATGGCTTGTAATAATTTCCCGCAAGAATAATTAATTTATCAATTAATTCGTTCAATAATTTGAACAAGTGTTAGATAAGAAAGTCATGAATTTCAAGACAGATAATTGTCATGAAGCATAAAATTGTATTAAAAAATGGGTAAAAAACGCAAAAATGGCACACATTAATCAATATTTGCTCTCTCGTCTTTAGAATTGTATGCGAGGCAAGCCTAGTACTGGGATGAGTGTAAGCAAATATTACGTCAATAAGGACATTAAAGCGCCCGACGCAGCTCAGGTAATAACGCTGCTTACTACGATATGGTTAGATGAAAATTTTTTTTACGTCAGACACCACAATCACATAGATTTTATAGATAATGATCTTGATACGTTGGAGGAAAATGTAATAGCATATAATATTGAGATAGACCAATTGCTTTGACATAAAAAAAATATCCTTATATTCCATGAACTTGTAAACTACTATACTGCACGTATAAAGAGTTTTGGCAATATTTAATTAAATATTAAAATTACAATGTCTGTGTAATATTTTAATACATTTTTTTATGCGAAGGATAAGAAAAATTTAAGAGAAATCAAAGCAAGCAAAGTAACACGGGCTTAACTTTAATTAATAATACAATTACTTATTCCGAATGATTATTTTACTTGTTTACCAATTTAGTTTCAAGAAAAGCAATTCTAGTAGAGAGTAAGTACGTAAAGGTTTGTTTTACTAACACGGCAAAGTACGAAAGTTCTCAACTGTCTGACCACATCGAGTCTGTACTACTTCGCTCAACTGAACGCCTTCAAAAATTTAGTTATTCACCTATTGCCATATGTGTCACTACGTAACACATTTTTTAGACAATAAAATTTTAGATCTACAAAAAAAGACAGGAGATTAAAAATTGGTAGTATAGCATTGCAGCGTTTCCGACGTCAAATTTCATAAAAAAATTTTCGTCAAGTTTTTCTGATAGTTGACAAATATATTTTTTTAATAGCTAGATGCCCAAATAAAATTTTTTAAGCTCCACTCTTTTAGTTTTGTTTATTCTTTTACTTAATTTAATGTTCATTAAATTTTCAAAAAACATATTTACGTAATTGATTTATTTTCATTTTTCAAATTGTCTATACGTATACTTGTTGAGCAAGCATTGATTAGTGGTTATTGGAAAAAAAATTTTCGACATCTGTATCAAACGTAAGGAGCTTATAGTGAACATTCATTATGAGAATTGCAGTTAAATAACAATTAAATTAAATTATCTAGAATCCTGGTCAGGGCTCATTGTGTTAAAGAGTAGACCGAAAAATAATATCTGAGTTTAAATAATTTTTACTTCAGGACAATGGGACCATCTTACCAACTGTTCGTGTGGCGGAATCAAACAAATGAAAAACAGATATAAATTATAACAGAGTTTGTATATTTGTATAATAAATAATGAAAATTTCATGGAACTGAATAATTTTGATTTTTTTAGTTTATCGAAAATAACAATTATTATTACATGAACAAAAATTAAAAATAAAAATTTTGTATTATAAATAATACATACAACTCACAATCAGCTCAACGATTCGTTGCCTTCAGGAGTTTGTATCACAAAAACCAAAAGTTTAAGAATACTTTCAAAAACATTATGTAAACCAACAATCGTGTTCTGATTAGCATATTATCATTTCAGTCACCTTAGCTTTACGATTTCCATAAAATTAATAATTTTTTTCTGAGAGGGTCGTATTTTTCTAGTTGAAATCAGTAAAAAAACTATTTTTCTCATAATAGTATGTGTTAAAGAAATAATTTATTTCTCGAAAACGATAAAACTGGAGTATATAAAATTTTAATATATTACTCTAAATATGTTTATAATTTTATACTAATTTTATTGAGGAATTCTTAATTTTTTTCGTGATAGAATTTCATATAGGCATATTTTTCGAAAACAATAACAATAAAAACGTAATTAGAAATCAAGTGTTAGCTAATTCCCTGTATCATGTTGTACAATATATTTAGACGCAAGTTTAAATAAATGCATATTTATAAAAATTTTGAATAGGTATTGTTCGTAGATAGAAAAATTCATATCAATGAATGACTTATAACAACATATCAATTAATGACTAGCATATCATGAAGAACTACTATAATATTCATATTAAATATCTATAAACATCACAATTATAATAGTTGAAGAATCATTTTTTTTATTTACAATAACTTGTAATATTTTTTATAAGTTATTGCAATGATCACTATATTTATTACATAGATTATATAATTTTTATCTGTGAAATAATT